CACACACACACACACACACACACACACACACACACACACACACACCCCACTTCTCAGGTACATCAGCCTTTCTTGCCTCTGAGACTTGTACCCTTCACTTCGTCTCCAGCCCTAATTTTGCCAGTCCCTCTCAGTTCCATCCTGGTCATGCCCAGCTTACCTTGGAGGGGTCAGGGGGCAGGACACCCTCAACGGCAAAGGGGCTGCCAGGCACTGGGTGACCATCGTAGGTGATGTCCACCTTGTAAGGCCCCTCCTCAGGAGGCATGTATCGAACAGCCTGGGCCTCTGCTCCACCTCCTGGCTCCAACTTGCAGGGGATGGGGCGGCGTGAAGGCGAAGTCATTCGTACATCTAACTGTCCCTGGCCGCCTGCACCCCGAGTGTTCACTGAAAATGCCTGCTCCTGTCCCACAGCTACCTCTGTGCCATGGAAGGTAGAGGAGGAGACAGATGGCAAGGGGCAGTGATGAGCAGGAGGGAAATCACAGACCCCAGCTCCTTCTAAGCCCTGCTTCCCCGTCCCCCTCTTCTCACCAGCCTCCCTTTCCTCCCTTCACCAACCCTCACCACCTAGTGCACAATATTGCTTCTCCCACACAAATATACACTTACTGCTGTTAAGGCCTTGAACTTTGACCTTGCTGAGGTCCAAAGGGGGTGCCACATTCACCACAAAGGGGCTTTTAGGGACAGGATCCCCACCGTAAGTCACAGTGACTGCCATGTTACCCTGATGAATGAAATGGGGACTTATAGCCAGCAGTGCCCCTAGAGAGCACTCTACCACCTCCCTCCATCCCCATCACCACCATCTTTTAAAGAGAGGAAAAAGATGAGACCAAAGTCATAGTTACTGGGGAAAGGGAGTTATCAGACCTGAAGATAATGGGGAGGGAAAGAGTTAAGGAGGGGCAGAATAGTCTCAAGAAGAAAGGCTAAGACCTAGGGCCCTGGAGATATTACGGACGCTGTGTGGTCAAGGCAGGGATGCAGAAGAGGGACAGGAAGAAGGAAACTTGCCTGCTGGACAGCTGTATACTTGACAGTGTAGGAATAGTCATGGTTGTCAATGATCTCAAAATCTCGAACAGCCTCTCCCTTTGCTGCCCCAGCAAAGTGAACATCCAGCTTGGCCTTCCCAGCACCCTTGGTCAGCACCGTAAAGTGTGTTGGCTTCCCAACTTCCACACCTGGGAACCCAAGGGGAGAGATGGGGAGAAGAAAGAGTGAGGAAAGTACAGGGAACTAGGGGGCTATGTGGGCCCAATTTTTCCTCCCAAGATGGCAGAGGCAGGAGGCAGCTCTGGCAGGCACTTACCCGTGCGGTTGAGCCCTGGACCCTCGGCTCTGACCTTGCTGGCATCATGGGATGGGTCCACTTTGATGTGGAAGGGGCTGGCTGGGATTTCCTAGGAGAGGGAAGGGTAAAGAGGCAAGTTAGAGCTCTCCTGTCTCCTCCCAGACAAACACTCCCAGATACCCCAACCCCAAGACATGGGCTCCTAAACAGAGTCATTGGTGGCCACAAGAGGGGACTGGCCATAGATGTCCCACTGGCTCAGCTGGCTGCTTACCAGGCAAATGGAAGGCAGAATAGCGAAAGGGAGAAGAGATTATCTGACAAGGAGAAAACTGAGGCAGAGGATGGAGACAAAATAGCTGAAAGGGACATATTAAGGGAACCCAGGAATCCTCAAGCCCAGAGCTGACAATGTCCACCCTAGAACTTGGGACACTATCAAAATTGCCCTCTTCTCTGTGTTTCCCATCTCCTAATGATATATGCCTGAAAAACGTAGCATCTTTAAAAGTGTATTACTCACTTTTTAAAAGGTTGGGGTTTATGGGACAGGTGAAGAAGAGAAAAGGAACCATCCTTGACCAAGAAGGGAAGGGGGAGTACCTGGTTAGCGAACAGCACCATGATGGTGTAGTGGCCAGCCCCAGGGGGCGTGTACTTGACAGTGAAGGTATCATTGTCATTCTTGATGATATCAAAATCAATGTCGGCTTCCACAGGACCCACAACGCCTGGGGCACACTTAATGCCTATGCTCACATCCCCTGAGGGGAGAAGAGCTGGTTATTACCATGGCCATAGTGGGCACCAGCAAAGCCCCCTTCCACTCTGGCTCTACCTCGTCCTAACCACCACCCCCTCCCCCACCCCATGACTACCTATGCAGGTAGTCACAGCCATGTCATTTATTGGAGATCATTAAGAACTTAATTTTCTCTTTCTGAACTTAACAAACACGAAATAAAACAAGCATTTCCATATACATAGTAGAAGATAAAAAGAGGATTATAGGTGAAACCGTGACTCTGTATTATGTACAGCCTGCTTTTCAGCCATGTTTATAGTGTGTGGCCTTCAGCAGGACCTCAGTTTCCTCATCTATAAAGGTATAGAAGGAGTGAACCAGAATTCTAATGTCCTTCCACTTCTAATAGTCTATGAGTCTATATCCTCTTTCCACCTTCCATTTAGCCACACCCATCCCTGGTCCCACCACTTCTCAGCCCAATCTCCACCCACATACCTTGTCCAGCTTCGCTGCAGTCCACAGTAAAGTAGGTTGGTTCATTAGCCTTGAGGCCAGTTTTCTCCACTCCTGGACCATACACTCTCACCTTCTCAGGGTGACTGCCCTCCCCCACATTTACCTGCAAAATAACAATGTCCGGAATGAAGGCTAAGATATCCATTCTCTTCCTAAGGAGATCAGGAGTTCCTGCAAGCCCTCATCTCCCCTACCCTCAGCTCTCAGATAAATTTTGGTCTTTCCCCAAAGGTCCTGAGGGTGGGGAAGAAGCAGCATGCCTAGGGGGTACCCAGGATCTGCTCTCTCACTGGTACCTAGAAAGTACATGTCTAGGGTGCAGGTCACTGTTGGAGGAAGAGGAAATCACCTGAATTCTGGGTGGGAATTAGGAAGACATACCCGGAAGGGGCTCTTTGGGACATTGACCCCTCCCCAGGTGACAATGATGGTATGCTTGATGGGCTTGGTGGGCACATAGGAGCATCGGAAAGTGCCATCTCCATTGGGAACCACCTTGATATCAATAGGGCAGCCTTCAGCATCCTGTGAAAATAAGCAGACACATACCCTGGGGCCTAAGTTCAGGAAGAACGCCTGACTTCAACCGTTGACCTCTTGCCAGAATCAAACCAGCCCCTGAAACATTCCCATCATTCAACAACCACATTCCATGCTATCATGCTCCTATCCCACTTCACCTCAGTCATAGCACAGGCACCAGTACCACATGTGGTCATGAGCAAAGGACCATGGGGCGGAGAGAAGAACCACGGGTTACACTCCCAGCTTTGACACTAACTAGTGGTAGGACTTTGGGTGAGTAATTTCACCTTTAACATTCATGCCAACTCTAATATTCTAACATGAGTAATAACAGCTAGCATTCATACAGCATCTTAAGATTTGCAAAGCACATATATCACCTCCTTTGTTCCTCAAAACAACCCTGTGAGGTAGGGACTATTATTATCACCATTTTCCAGATGAGATACTGAGGCAAAGGGAGGTTAAGTGACTTGCCCAGCTAGCAAGTCTTCTATGGAAGGGAGGATTTGAATGCAGGTCTTTCTGATTCCAGATCCAACTTTCGATTCACTGTGTCCCCTGGCTGTCTAATAATTTTTGAGCCAGAGAACTCTTTGTCTTTGAGCTGGAGTTCTTTCTCCTTTCAAGCCTTTCTACAATCCCCAGAAGGTCAAAGGATCCAGGACAATGTCCTTACCTGGGCATAGAGCTTGAGGTCACCTTTGCCAGCAGCGCGGGCATCAATGGTGAACTCTGCTGGTTTGTCCACGATGCAGCCTGTAGGCTCTAGCCCTGGTCCAAAGGCCTTCACCTATAGCAAGTTGAGGGACGAGAGAAAGAGGGGCATTGTTTTGGAAGGCTCTAGCCTCATTCACAGAGGGCTGAGCACAGATCTACAGGACCAGTACCTTATCTGGGAAACAGTCTGGTGCGGCAGGCTGAATGTGGGCAATGAAGGGAGAGTCCCGGATATCTTCATCATCACAGATGACATGAACGGCATACTCCCCTGGCTCTGTAGGCCAGTAACGCACATCACACGAGCCATCTCCCTTGTCATCACATTCAATCTTAGCCTGGGATGGTCCCTCGATGGAGAAGCCTGAAGAGCACAGAGGGAGAGACAGACAGAAGGTGTGACTGCCAGACATTCCTGGTCTCCATTCCTCCGTCACTCACTGGGCATCCTCAGCCTCTTTCCCCTGGTCACTTACCCAGTGTTCCCACCTCTGTGCCAATGGCCTCCACCACAAAGTCTGCTGACTTGCCCACTTGGCCAGTCTCCAGGCCAGGGCCCCAGGCTCGCACTTTCTGGACTCCAGCCTCAGGACTCACCTGTACCTCGAAGGGACTGGGAGAAAGAGAAGAAGGAAGGAATAGAGAGAGGAAGGAAGGAAGAGAGGGAGGAAGGAAGGAAGGAAGAAAGGAAGAGAGAGAGGAAGGAAGGAAGAGAGGAAGGAAGAAAGGAAGGAAGAGGGAGAAGGAAGGAAGAAAAGAAAGGAGAGAGGAAGGGAGTAAGAGAGAGAGGGAAGGAAGGATCTTTTGTCAAGATAGGAAAAAATTACTCTCTCAACATTTCCCCTTTCCCCCCAGACACCTGACTCTCTTACATTCTCTACTAAACGGAATAAGAAAGTTAACCAATTTTATGTGAAGATTCTAGTAAGGAAAAGATCCATTTCAAGGTCCCAGAAAAGAAAAAGGGGAGTCTGAGATTGCCTCATCCCCACAAATGGAGGGAATCCCAATGTCAAAGGGTAAGGGCTCCCCCCTCCTTTCCTTTGTCAAGGCACAGAACAGACCAAGTTTGGAAAGTGCTAAACAAGCCAATCCTGGGTGTAGGACCCAGCAGTCTCAGCTCCCAGCCCCGGGGCTTAATCCTGGGATCTTATGAGCCTAACATTGCACAGCAAAGGAGATTCCTATCCTAACACTATTCAGTGCTACTGGGGCCTGGCTTGGGAACAGAGAAGGACTAGGGGACTTACCTGCGTGGGATGGCATAGCCACCCCATGTGATGGTGACCACATATTTTCCAGGCACCACAGGATAGTATTCACATTCATACACGCCGTCACCTGCCTCCCGCACCTTCACTGGCTCCTCTGTACCCTCTGTGGGGAGGCAGATGGTGCTATGAGGTTCCACCTCCCCTCTTCCCTCCATGTTTCCCCACGGAGAAAAAAGATTCTAGGGACTCATCATAGAAAGGGAGAGCCACTAGGTCTCAACGGGACATATCAAAGGAAGATACTGTTCTTATACAGAGAGAAAATAAATGATAATAATGCTGATTTATATTTCTTTAGCATTATTATTTAAGTTATTTCACATATATTTTCTTACTGTATCTTCACAAGAACCCTGGGAATTGGTAGAGCTGGTTGAATGTTACTTAATAGGTTGGCAGACTCCAGGAGAAGGGATAGCACCGCCCACATCTGCCCCTCTCAGAAGGGCTTGGGGTTGCTGGCCAGATTCTCTGTTTCCCTGTCCCCCCAACTCCCCCACTTCCCACTTACTTGGCCCTTTCACGGTGACTTTGAGCTCTCCACTGCCCGCACCCTTAGTGAACACCTTGAAATCCGCAACCTCCTTCACTCGGACACCCTTGGGCTGGAGGCCTCGGCCTGTTGCCCGGCAGGCGTTTGGGTTGCAAGCTGTGGAGGGAGGGGGCAGAGTGGTAACTTCGGAGGGGCCAGGCAGGAGACTTTTCATTTAGGCAAGACGTTCCCTGCCCCTAACCCTCACTGGCACGCAATCTGGTCATGCCTTCCTTTCTTTCTATGGGAGGCAGGACCTCATATCCTCATGCACTCCATCAAGCTTCTCACTGTCCATTCATGCAGCTTCTATCCTGATAAGCAGCCCTACACCTCTCCCTCAGGACCCACCCCCACCTGCCCCCGCCCTGGGCCAACAGGTTTGCCCACACAGCGCCGGAGCCCTAAGCAGTATGTGGTGTCCCTGTGACAAGCAGCAGAGGCTCTGTTGGGCCCTGAGGAACATTCTTCAGTGATACCAACACTAAGAACTGGTGGGTTCAGCAGTGAGACATAGAGAACCATCAGGCAGAGAACTCTCCCCATCCAAAGAATCCCTTCTCAGAGATCCTTTGCACATCTCAGGGCCACCTCTAGTCCCTAAATAGCTGAGCATGCCATGAAACATAGGTGATGCCACAGATCACAGGCACTGGCGAGGAGCCCTGGTCCTGCCACAGAACAGGCACTGGCGGGGAGCCCTGGTCCTGCCACAGATCACAGGCACTGGCAGGGAGCCCTGGTCCTGCCACAGAACAGGCACTGGCAGGGAGCCCTGGTCCTGCCAAAGAATATGCAGTATGGCATAGAACCCAGGCAATGACACAGAATTCAGATCTTGCCATAGAATCCCATAAGGCTTGCCATGCCAAGGAACACAGGTAGTGCCAGGCAGCTATGGCCATGCCATGGCGTGACCAACTAAGTCCCACCTCTGAACTAGCTTGATAGTACTAACATGGTGGTACTTTCTTGGCCTGGTGGACGATGGGTATGGAGGGAGTAACCGGCATCAGGTGGTCTGAGGGTGGGGGAAAGAATGAGTATAGAGTGTCACCAGTCTGGGGGTCCCAGAATGTTAAGCAACCCTGGTGTGTCTCCCCAGTGCCCGTATGTAGCTATCCTCCTTAATCCCTCTAAGGTAGGGTCCGCTTAACGGAGCCACCCCTTGTTCCTTCCCACAGCTTAGCTGCTCTGAAATGTGGCTCTCCACCGACCCACTGTCTTTTGGGTCTGGGCAGGACAGAGTCTCGGCCATACATCCTCCTACCTGGGATTTTCTTCTCCTGCTCATTCCAGGAGTCTACCAAGCACCCTTAGGTTCAAAAACTCTCTTCCTGCACACAGTATCTATCCATCTTAGTTTCTCATAAGCAACTACAGGTTCTGCCCTGGTCCCAGCACAGATGGTCAGGAGAGGGGGAAGGGGACAAGGCCTCACCTTCAGCCACATGGACAGGGAAAGGGCTTCGACTGATGGGGGACCCAGCAAAGGCCACGTGTACCGTGTGGGGCCCCTCAAGCACAGGCCGGTAGGTGCAGCGGAAGGTGCTGTCACCCTTATCCTCCAACGCCACTTCCACTGTGTCCCGCCGACCCTGAGGGTCAACAATCACCACAGAAACATCGCCATTTCCTGCTCCTGTTGGTGAAAGCATGGGTATCGGTTTTTAGTTTTAGATGCCCTCTTCCTAACACCTACTCTCTCTCTCTGTCTCTGTCTCTCTCTGTCTCTCTCTCTTTCTCTCTCTGTCTCTCTCTCTCTCTCTCTATCTATCTTCTGTCTATCTCTATCTCTCTGTCTCTGTCTCTGTCTCTCTCTCCATTCCCTACCTCCCTCCCTCCCCTCCCTCTTTCTCGGCTTGTTCCTGGTACAACTAGGTCTGATAGGACGTGTAGCTGGGCACCCTCATCCTCATCCTCAATGAGGACATTGCTCCTCTTTTCCACACCCTTCCTCAACTCCCCCGCCAGGGATCCCTCAGGAACCTTTATATTCATCTTCCTCCCCTTCTCCCTTCTCCTCTTCCTCCTCCTTTTCCTCTCCCTCACAATGGTGTAGAATCCCCACGAGCCAGCGGCACTCCCACCCTGACTCCCAGCATCCCCTACCTGCAGTGTAGATATCAAAGTAGGTGGGTTTGTTGGCCACATTGCCCACTGGCTCTAGACCAGGTCCTCGAGCTGACACTTTGTTAGCATCACCCAGGGCCATGCCCACGTTCACCTCAAAGGGGCTGCGCTCGATATTTTGGCCAGCAAAGAGCACTGTTACCTGGGAAGTCAGAGGTCAAAGACTCAAGGTGGGGTCACAAGGGGTGGTGGTGACACTAAATACCAGAGACATCCCAGGGGACACTTCTACAGATTGCGGCGGGGTGGGGGATGAAATAGGCATGCAGAATTACAGATTTAAAAAAAAAGACCTCTGGAAGCATCTAGTCCAACCTGAACCTGAACCTGAACCTGAACCTGATGAAGAAAATATGTCCAACCCCTAGGGATTATCCAGCCTCTATTTGAAAACCTCTAGGCAGGGGAACCCCACTACTCTTCCAGAGGCAGCCCATTCCATTTGTGGATCCTTAGGAAGGATTGCTAGGTGGCACCAGCACCATAGGTAGAGTACCCAGCCTAGAGTCAGGATAGTTCGAATATAGCCTCAGGCACTTACTAGCTGTGTGACCATGGGTAAGTCACTTAACCCTGTTTGCCTCAGTTTCCTCATCTGTAAAATGAGCTGGAGAAGGAAATGGCAAACCACTCCAGTATCTCTGCCAAGAAAACTCCAAATGGGGTCACAAAGAGTTGGACACAACTGAACAACAACAAACCCTTCAAAGTCTTTCCTTATATCTAGTCTAAATCTGCCTCTCTACAACTCCCACTCACTCACTGTTCCTAGTCCTTCTCTCTGGGATCAAACAGAACCCAGCTAGTTCTTCTTCTTCTTCTTCTTCTTTTTTTCAGTGAAGGCAGTTGGGGTTAAGTGACTTGCCCAGAGTCACACAGCTAGTGAGTGTTGTGTGTCTGAGGTAGGATTTGAACTCAAGTCCTCCTGACTTCAAGGCCAGTGCTCTATCCACTGTGCCACCTAGCTGCCCCTAGTCCTTCTTCTACAGGCTAAAGCACTTCAAATATTGGAAGACAACCTTCTAAGTCTTCCCTTCTCTAGGCTAAACATTCCTAATTTCTTCAGTTAATCCCAACAGGGCATGGTCTCTACTTCCATCACCAGCTGCATCCTTCTCTGTATATTTCCCAGTTTGCTGGTATCCTTAAAACATGGTGTTCAGATCAGAATATAATATGCCAAGATGTCACCTAATTAGGGCAGGGTACATCCAGCAGGACTATCACCTTCCTAATCTTGGACACTATATCCTTCAGTGCAGCGCCAAATAGCATTATTATTATTATTATTATTATTATTATTATGGCTGCTGTTTCATCCTGTTGACTCATCTTGAGCTTGTGGTCCACTAACACAGATCTTTTTCTATACTTATCTAGCTACACTTCCCCCAGATGATATTGGTGGAAATTAATTATTTGAACTCAAGTCTAGGATTTTACATTTATCTCTATTAAATGTAATCTAATTAGGTTTAGCCCATTGTTCTAGCCTTTCAGGATTTTTTTTGAATCGAATTTATTAACCGTATGACCTGTTAGTCACATTTGTAATTGTCACCAAAAGGTATTCCCAATTTTGTATCATCTGCAAATCTGATGAGTATGTAATCTATTCCTTCACAAAATTCATTAATGAAAAAGTTAAACAGCACAGGGCCAAGAAGAGGTCCCTGGAATACTAGGGACTTCCCTCCAAGTCATCATAAGCTCGTTAATTAGTCAAACTTTGAATTTGGTCATTTCCCACTCCTGCACTGGAGACTAAGAAGGAATATGGAATTTGGCAGATGGACATCAAGACATGACCAGTTATAGAGCTGAGGAAGTGTAGAAGGGTGGGAGGGTGGGGCAAGGGAGGGTTTTTTATGGAGATACCTTGTGTAGCCCTGCCACCTTGGGGACATAGGAAACAGCATAGGTCCGGTCCTTGTCATTATTGGGAACCACTTTGGCCTGTTGAGAGGACAGAAGTTATTAATCTTTCAGGTACTAACTTTAACCCTCCCCTAACTCTCCTAAGGTACACATGGGGTTACATGGAAGCAGTCTCCTATAGTGTACACAAAATGGTGGCTAAGTCCAGCAGCCAGCTGGATGCTATTCAGGCGCCCCTGCCTCTCCCAAAGCCTTCCTTTGTCATACCTCTTCAGTGTGGCCTTCGGGGTCCTCAATGTACACGAGTACCTCCCCCAGTCCTGCATCTACTGTCTGCACAGTAAAATGGGCTGGCTGAAGCACTGTGTTCCCATGAGGCTCGATGCCTGTGGAAAAGAGAATTGAGAGGGACAGATGAGAGAAGACAGATAGGAACAGAGAAACGGCTGTTCTGCCAACGCTAGCATATACAGAAAGCATGGCAGACATGACAGAGCCCCAGAAGATCTCTAAGTTATGGAGGTACGCCTCATCCATATAGCCCTGGGATGGGGCCAGGGCAGGGTACCCTCAGGGACTAGAATTACATACCAGGCCCATAGGCTGTGGCCTTCTTGGGATTCAACTGCTTGGATCGAACAGGGGCTCCAGGTTTGAGCTTGGCCTTTGGGAACTGGGACAGGTAGGTCATGACAGAGTGCTCATCCACATTGGGGTCCACGATCTCCTCAGGGGCAATCACCTGCCATGGGGAAGGTCAGAGGTCACCACTAAGACAGCCCCCCCACCCTATAAGAGCCCAGCTTCCCACCCTCTGCTCCTGGTCACGTCTCCCCCAAGAGAGTTATAGCTCTCACCTTGACTCTGCAGCTCTTTCCCTAGGGCCTCTCCTATCAGCCAATCCACTACCAACTTGCACTCACATTCTGACCTTGATGCCAGCCTCTCCCCCCATGCCCTCTTTTTGCTCCCCCATACTCGTACCTGTGGCACACCTAACCAGTCATCAGCCTGTTGCATTGCCTCTCGGGCATTCTCCACTGGCTGGTTGGGATCCCACGCCTCCCAGTTGGGACACAGGCCTGAGGAGGGGGAAGGGATGGTGAATTAGAGTTGGCAGAGACTTTAGACAGCATCTAATCCAGCTCTCTCGTTTTGCAGATGAAGAAGTCAAGATGAGCCAGTATATAATCAGCTACACAGAATCCTGGACAGTTGCTTGCCCAGAAAAGCTGGACAGACCCCTTCCCCCTTCCCCAAGACATTTCTACCTAAATAGACTCCTGCAGAGACCCTGGGGATGCCCCCATCCAAAGATGCACAGTCAAGGTTGGAGCCAACATAGGCAGCACTGACTTAGGCCAACAATGAGTTCTTTCTGCCCCTAGGCTGACTCTGCCTGGTACCAATGCTCTTCTCGGGCCGGCCTCTAGCTTGTTCAGGCCCCATACCAGACTCTGGGAAAGGAAACCCCAAGAATGCCACCTACTAGCCTTAGGAACAGCCCCAACACACTCAGGTTTACCCTAGGTAAGGTGAGAAGGCAACATTCCAATCTCAGCCACAACTTCTACTCCGATCCTGAAAACATACCCCCCTAACACTTCAGCTTGTTACCTCAGATCTCCAAGCACTTAACATCCTATCCTTGGGGGGAGACCATCTTCCCATTTTCTCCCACATGTTCCAAGGAAACTAAGACATTAAAAAGGATAATGGGGGATGAGGGATCCTCTATTGAAGTCACAAAGAAGTCTTAATTTCTAACTTGGTGGGATTCTGAGGCATTCCCCAAGGTCTCTCCTAAGAGACAAGGAGCAGAAAGGAAGGCAGTCCATGGGGTGTGAGGGAAGGCCTTAGTCCCAGGCTGGCTGGGAAGGAAAGAGGAAGGGGAATGGTTGATTGAGAGTGGGCAGGGGAAGGGGCCAGCCAAAAACACAGAATCCATGACAAGCCACTGCGGGTGAGCTCACTGTTGGCAGGAGCAGCTTCAGGCAGTGGATCAACAGCTGGGAATGCTTCCCGAGGCTGCAGGACTGC